AACCAAGTCATTGAATATGCTTAAAAATGTTAAATATTGGCTGTATGAGAAGGTTGGCTGTGGATGACATGTGAAGCATCCAAGAGCTTTTCCTCCCCTGGCCATATCCATGAACTCGTGGACTCGGCAGTGCTGACCCAAGGATATGGGCAGCCAGTTCAGAAAAATGAAACCTCACCATATTTCTTAAAAGACCTTGGTCTCTCTCCATCTCTGGACAATTGTGATGCAGCTGAGACTGTGTTAGGAGAAAATGTGATGAACACGTAATTTCATGGAGAGGGACAGTGACAGAGTTACGTCAGAACACTGAGGGAATGGCGACTATTTTAGTTCCTCCTATTCAGCAGGCAGCCTGCCAATGGGGGACTTACATGGACTGTTTAAGCTGGTTTAACAGAGAGAGACACTGAACGGCACAGCTGTCTCCGTGTCTCTCCCACAACAATCTTCCAGTCTTCGACACTTTCACAGCCCCCCATTGTCTCATTAATGGTAAATCTCACTTAATTCCAGCCTTTACAGACACTATACATCTCGTACACGTATCTGCAGTTTCATTAACATGTCCCAAAGTGAATATCTCCACGCACCGGTTTGTAAGCTGTGCAGCTCTGTGCCGCTCTGTGCTGCGTGAATCGGAGAAAAAAAAAATCATTTAATGTGACAATCTGAGACTAGTTCAGGTCTGCAGCTTATTTGAGAGCTGATGGATCTTATGATGAAGTGAAATAAAACTTCTCCAGGTGTGAAAGTACAAAAAAAATAAAGTGTCTGTGTGATGTTACATGTAGCATATAGTCTCTGCTGATTAGCTGCAGGCTGTACATTTAGTGATATCAAATGCTGGGCCTTGTTAAGGCCCATCCGCGCTGATTAACAGGCCTCAGGCCATATGAAACACATCCAAACTCACGAGTGATGGTTTCTTTTCAAAGAAAGGACACCAAATTCAAACCTCACATTTATAGAACAAATGGTCTTTGAGGGACCTATGAAAGACAGCCTGAAACACCAGGACGTTAATTGCATCTATTCATAAAGCTATTACATTTTTGTCACCTTCCAACAACCCTGCTTCACTTCTGGCTAAACCCCAACCCATTTGAAAGTAATGATCCTAAAGCCAGTGATATCTACCAGTTTGAACTGTAGCTTCCTGATAAGAAGTTTCCTGGTTTGAATCCCAATCTTAGTGGATGTCTCACATCTCATTTTCTTCATGCCGTTGTCTAAAGATGTGAAAAATAATAGAAATAATAAAAAATAATCTTTTTGTTTAATATGGATATTAAACAACAGTACAAACAGCAAATACTGTTAAATGTTTTTCTAATTCCCAAATGACCGACTAAAGCACTTGATTAATAATAAATAAATATAAAAAAGTTATACCTCAAAGGCCCGCAGGCCAGATGTTCAGAACCATGCTATAAATGAATCCTTTGCACTGACATCAGTCAGGTTTGTTTCCTTCATCACTGAAGTGATCAGGGAGGATTCTAATTAATAACAGTTACACACTGAAGCTTTACATGTTCACAGTAGGTGGAGGAAACATCACACAGAGCTCTGTTTTAGGTGTAAACCTGAAAAACCTCAGTGTGAAAGGCTAATTACAGTAGCTCTCTACTTCAACACTAACTAGAAAAGACATTACAAACTCACAGGAAGCCCACGTTTGAGAAAACAAGGACAAAGTCTGTGGGCAGAAGGTGAAGTGGAATTTAACCTGTATTAATGTTTTTACGACCTCACACTCATCACAAGAACAGTGAGATTTGTACGATATTAAACTGCTGTTGACATTGATACTTCGCTGCCAGTATTTTACAGATAAACAAAATGGGTTACAGAAAAAGCACCGTTTTCCTTGACAGAAGCATCACATCAATCCAGAGCAAAGCAGAGCAAAGTGCCTGAAATTAGACGGTTTGTAAAAACCTGTTACAGGTAAAATGTAGAAACTGAGTCGACTGTCAACACATTGTGGAAAGAAACACAAATCTAATGGAGACTGAGATGTGGTTTTTTTTTTGAGGAACTGAACTTCAAATGTGTGATGCAGCAGTTACCATCAATTTGATGCACGTTTTTCCTAACTTTATTTTATTTGATCATGGCCCGGCTAATACTGAAGTCTGCAAGAATTTAACTAAATAATATAATGAGTCTTAATCTAACTCAAAGTTTCATCCAGATGTTAGTTCACGTGTGTGTCTAATGGTTGATTAAGTCATTAGTCAAAATGCTTATTGGGTGAAATATTGCTAATTGATTAAAATGTGATTAATTAAAAAAACTCAAATGAAAAACAAGCTGTGTGTGTGTGAAAGTACAGAAACCAGAGCTAACGTTCGCTGCGTGAGCCCTGGCACAGACATACAAAA